TCCTTTCTAGGATCGATGGGGTAGGCCTACCTCGAAAAAAACCTGGAAAGGTAGAGAGAAAAATGAGGATCATAAAGGATAGAGTAGAGAGGAACGTAAGAGACAGAAAGAAAAACGAAAAGAAATAATATAAAAAAGAAAAAAAAAAGCGGGAAGAAAAAATCCACTCTTACACTTTCTCTCTCTCTCTCTCTTTTATAAATATATACACAAACGAATACACACACACAAGCACATATACAAACACACACACACACATACACGCGCGCGCATATATACATCCATCTCTAAACACGCGGCCATCACTCCGTTTTCTATGATTTCTCTCTCTCAGCTGTTCTATCCGGATCCAACGCTCTTTAAAGATTTCCGGACGCCACAAAAAGGCCTCGAATCCCTTCCCAAAAGAGATTCTGTAAACTCTCTCTCTACCTGTCTATCTCTATTTCTTTGTCTTTCGGTTTCTCTCTGTTTCTGCCTGTCTCAATCTCTCCCTCTCTCTATCTATATATATCTGCCCTCTCCTTCTCTCTCTCTCTCTCTCTCTCTCTTCTCTCTCTCTCTCTCTCTCTCTCTCTTCTCTCTCTCTCTCTCTCTCTCTCTCTCTCTCTCTCTCTCTCTCTCTCTCTCTCTCTCTCTCTCTCTCTCTCTCTCTCTCTCTCATTTCTTTTTCGCAGGATATGTAAAGGACGTTTTTGTATTGGATTTATTCAGTATTTCGTTCTTTCTTGGCGTCTTCAAGATGGACACACACACATGTGCATGTGTATGTCCCATGTAGATGCATTTGGATGTGTCACTGATTATCATGATCATGATAACGATGATAATAATGATAATAATAATAATGATGATAATAATAGTAATAATACTAATGCCAATACTAATACGACTACTACTAATGAAATAATAAATAATAATGATAACAACAATGGTAATAACAATAATGATGATAATACAAATAACAAACAATAACATCGTCAACAATATTAATCATAATCATAAGCATAGACATTATCAATACATAATATTAATAATTAATAATAATAATAATAATAATAATAATAATAATAATAAAATAATATAATAATAATATAATAATATAACAACAAACAATAATAATCATTATGAAAATACTAAAAACAATGAAAACAATAAGAAAGCAGCAACTGTAAACAAGAATCGTGTCAATAAGATCGACGAGCAACAATCTTCTCCAGAAAAACTGCAAATCAAGCCACATTTGACCCCCTTTTAATCCGCTAGATGGCATCAAGAACATTTAAATGATCAATAAACTCTTCAGAGTGTGGGTGATGTTATGGCTTATCATCATAGGTTGTGTGTGTACCTTAAATCACAGTTTGTTTAAGATGCTCCGTTCTTTTTCATCATTCACCATGTGCTATTTGAGGTATGATATATATAAACTTAAACAAAAACACAAAAGCAAATACGCACACACATACAAACACACGCACAGCCACACATACACACACAGCAACACCAAGGCATATATTCAGGGTTAGCACTTTGTGTTTCTTTACAGCATTTTTAAATATTTTCTCATTTTCTAAAGTTTATTACTTATAAATTCAAAATAACCGATATGCATATAATATACACATATATCAATTACAGAAAGATCAACTAATTTTCTTCAATAATGAGAGATACAAATTTACGTTTATATTCATGCTCTCTGCTATCCGCTGACGTCAGGTAACGGTTCCTTTGAACCAGTGCAGAGGAAGGCTCAGATTCTGGTTGAAATATAAACGAAATTACAAACCTGAGACTCAGAGAATCAAACTTGGAATCTGTTTTTCCATTCATATGACCAAGGAAGGTATTTATTTCAAGTATTTAACTGGTTTATATATAGGGATCCATTTGTCACAAGTGGGGGATTTATTTTTGTATTTTATTGAGTAACGGACGGCGGGGGGGGGGGGGTTACCTTTCAGAGTGCGGAGCATCCGGGCTATCTGGGCCGCACCTTATCTTAAAGGAGCATTACTATTACTAAAAAAATACAAAAAAAGAGGAAAAGAGGAGAGAAACGAGGTAAAGGAAAAAAAATAAAGGTAGGTTTGGATAACGCAAGGGAGAAAATACGTTAAAAATAGCCAAGGAAAGGGAGAGAAAAAGAAAAATAAATAAATAATCAAGTCGTAAAAAGAACATGGTGATCTGAAACACACACGAAAAACAATTAAAAGTTCAAACAAACAAATAAAAATCCAAAGAAAAGACAAATAATTAGAAAATATGAAGAAGAAAATTAAACATACGAGAAAAAAAACATGAAGAGGTGTAAAAGGAAGAAAAGGAAAAGAGCCTTATATATGGTATAGGAATAAATGTTTAAAGATGGAGAATGAGAATGATGGAGAATAAAAAAAAGATATGGATATAGAAAAAGAGAAGGAAGGAGGGAGGATGGGGAGGAGGAGGAGGAGGAGGAGGAGGAGGGAGGAGGAGGAGGAGGAGGAGGAGGAGGAGAAGAGGAGGAGGAGAAGAGAAGAGAGAAGAAGAAGAAGAAGAAGAAGAAGGAAGAAGAAGGAAGAAGAAGAAGAAGAAGAAGAGGAGAGGAGGAAGAGGAGAAGAAGAAGAGGAAGAAAAAGAAGATGATGATGATGAAGAAGAAGATGGAGAAGGAGGAGGAGGAGAAGAAAGGAGGAGGAGGAGGTGGAGAAGGAGGAGTAGAAGAAGAAGAAGAAGAAGAAGAAGGAGGGAGGAGGAGAAGAAGAGAAGAAGTAAGAGAGAGGAGAGAAAGAGGAGGAGGAGGAGGAGGAGAGGAGGAGGAGGAGGAGGGGAAAGAGAGGAGGAGGAGGAGGAGAGAAAAGAAAAGAAAGAAAAAAGAAGAAGGAGGAAGAAGAAGAGGAGGAGGAGGAAAATGAAGAGGAGTAGAAGGAAAAAAAGAGAGAAGGAGAAGGAGGAGGAGGAGGAGGAGAGGAGAGAAGAAGAAGAAGAAGAAATTGAATAAGAAGAGGAGGAGGAGGAGCAGACGAAGGAGTAAAAAGAAGAAAATGAAGAGGAGAGGCACGAGGAGTAAGAGAGAGGGAAGAAGTAAAGGAAGAAGAAGGGGAACAAACAAGAGGAAGGAGACGAAGAGGCAGAAAAGGAAAAATAAAAAGAGGAAGAAAAAAATAAACAGCAGGAGAAAAAAGGCAAGCGATGAATGAATGATTAACGAAAGGAATAAGAATAATAGGATAACCAATCAAAACGAAGAGTCGAAATAGCATGAGGAAGAAGAAAAGGAAAACAGGAAGAGGAGGAGAAGGAGAAGAAGAAGAAGAAGAGGAGGAGAAGGAAGGAGGAGGAGGAAGAAGAAGAAGAAGAAG